GGGGGGGGGGGGGGCCGACGGGTCGGATCAGGGGTGCCTGGCGGTGGCGTGAGGCGCGGGAGCGGCGATTTCTCCCAGAGGGCGCGCCGCGGCGGGGGAGAAGCAGGCAGCGTCGGGCAGCCCCTCACCGTGGGGGCCGCGTGGGTCTGGGACGCGGCGTAGCCGCCGCCGCCAGCGGGGTAGTGGCTGGGCTGGGCGCCGCTGTCAGCGCTGGCAAAGAGCCCGGGGCGCTCCACTTCGGAGTGGATGGTCTTTTGTTTGTGATTTTGGGCAAGGAGGGTGTAGGTATGATGAGAGCGCGACACATGGCCGCTGGGCAGGCGCGGCGCGCCAAAGGCGCAGCAGCCGTGGTGGGGGCGGCGGTGGGGGGTTTCCTGCCTCCAGCCCTTGCTTCGAGCCGCCGCCGGCCCAGCTGCTGCGTGCTTGTGCTGGCGACAGGTAGACACCGCGCCTCAGATCGGGCGACGCTGCCACTAAATTTTCCAACAGGTACACTGCGCCTCCGATCAGGCGACGCTCCCACTGCATTTTCCGCCCTAACCAACAGCAGGGACGGGCTGGCGCCTGTCCACAGTGGCACTGCCCCCGCCCTCTTCACAGCAGCTCACCGCGCAACTGGAGCACCAGTGCAGCCCCAACGGCAGCGCCTTCGATTGTGGCTGCTGCACAAGATTGCCAGGAAAGACAATGGCAGAGAGAACAAGGCGGTGCGTGAGTTGATCGCCGGCAGCAGGGAACGCACTGGAGTGCAGCGCGAGGCGGGTGACGCACCTGCGAAGTCAGCGGGACCCGCTGCAGGGGCAAGCTGCAGCATGTGGAGGGGGCTCTGATGGAAAGCGACCGATGTCCGTCCCTTGAGAGGCCCTTCAGCGACTTGTTGGCGAGGTAGAGGGGCATTGTCAGAGGCTCTCGCGGCAGTGCTGAACAGCAGCACGCGGTTTGCTCCTCCAGGCACGCACCTGTAATGTGTGTCCATATCTCTCTTGTAGCGATACCAGCAGTGGAGCCACACCTGATACGATCGGGGCAGCAGAGAGCTTGGACAGCAGCATGATCTTGCGGTGGAGCCTGCCTGTGTGCGTGTGAAGAAAAGTTATGTCTCTTTGCGCACGAGGCAGAGCGGTGTGTCTGAGTGCGCACAAGTCCATTGGCAGGGCGTGGCGCTCGAACGACCAGCATTGACAAATCAAAATGTGACATGGCGTGCCGCAACCCGTCACGTGATGCACCTGCTGGCGCTCCTGCGCAGCAGCGCCGACCATCCCCAGCCATTCGGTGTGTTGCTTCCAATCACGGTCAACAGCCTCGTCCTCAAGCACTGCCCACACTGCGATTGGCACCTGCGGGCAAGGGCAGTACCCAGCTTATATGCTGTCAAGAGAAGTAGGAAGGCCGGTGAGATACGGCACCGGGCCAAGAGGGGTCGGGCTTCAAATGACTGCGATATAGCCATCCAAAGCGCCGACGACAAGAAGTGGCTAATACGCACCAGCACATTGTTTGACTGTCCTACGGAATGAGTATCAAGTTCATGGCTTGCCGCGCATGCAGCAGCTGTGGTGTCCACTGTCGCACCATGCACGTAGGGCTCGACACGATCAGAGGAGTTTTGCAGATGGGCGCGTGCAGCTGGGGCTGTTCCTTTAGAGTTATTATGTAAAGGCTGACAGCGACTGGCCAGCAAACCAACAAATCAGAAGCGTGAGCCAGCTGGCCCTGTGCATGCATCTGCCCCCCGGATCGAGCGTCCGCTGCTGGATTGAGCCTTGCATTGACCGGACACAGGGTTTGGGCTTTGCGGGAGTGTGCGGCCAGCGCGAATGGGAGCAGACACGTCCATGCCTCGCGCTTCAGAAAGACGAGGACGATCACACCAGGAAATTTCTGTGGCAATTTTCGGCTGATGACAGGTACACCGGTGCCACCCCAGGACAACTTTGCACAATGGTATGCAGCAAGAGCGAGTGAAACAGAGGTAGGGATGCAGGCGGGCAGGGATACCCCACTTGCTTTGTGCACACCGCTGCATGCCACATTTGGCAATGTCTACGGTGGTGGGCTCCTCCAGTCGCCACAGGGTACTGTAATGGCGTGCTCCGCACTGCATGCATGCAACTGCGGTGATTTCACTTGTACACCCCGGAGTCAGAATCCCCCATAAGTAAAGTTTGTTCACCCATGTGCACACCTTTCTCTGGCACCTTCCAATCGGTTGAGGCATAACGTGCAACAAACGGCGGCTAAAGTCACCGTACAGTAAGGCCAGTGACCCCTGTCGTGGCACACCGCCAACTCAGCCGCTCTTCCAATTTATGCCGTCGCCTGAATCGTTCAGGTGCGAATGAAGCACCCGTCAGTCACCTGGCAATGGGCCGGTCGCAGGGCTAGCAACCACCATCAAAATATCAACGGCTGCTTCAGCAGCACTGGCAGAGAAGCAGGCAGCAGACCACCTACGTACGTGCGCAAGGTTCAAAGGTACCTACCTTCATGAAATCTGTACCCATCAATCAATCCTGCCTACCGTATTCATGATTTTTTGCCAGTTACCACTCTACATACCTATGTACTGTATCCAATTTGTTGATTCGCGTGCCACTTGGTATTGTGGAGCATCCGCCGTCGCTATCATCCCGCTGATCTCAGCCTGGTATCTCGAGGATGCAGGCGCTAGAAAGCGCGCTTCACGAATTATTACTGCTCGTGCAGTCATGTGGTCCCGGCCAGTCCAGCGCAGAGTTCCAGGCCCTGCAGGCCAACACAGTGCTCCGATCGTTGCGCGACGCGAGCGAGGGTGCGCCTGCCAATGTGCGCGTTGCGGGCGGCCTGACGCTCCAGGTTTTGCGGGTGCTGCTTGAGCTGGAGACGTCTCTGCAGGCGAACGTGCTGCTGCAGGGCTTTTTGATGGTGTACTGCACGGATCTGATGCGGCTGCAGCAGGTGCGGCGCGGTCGGCTTGTCATATCGGGTTCGGTGTGGGAGGGGCAACGGCAGCCTTGCTGTCTGCCCCAGCACACACTTTGAGCAGTAGCCGCATTGCAATCTAGTGTTGTTCACATGTTGTCTGCGTTGTATGATGCATGCCAGACTGCCCTGACGCCACCCCCGCCCCTTTGACTCGCTCGCCGCCCGGGTCACTGGCAGCTGGGTGCCCTACCCGGCTTCGCGGCCGCGTTTTGCGAAGTCATTGGCAGGTTCAGGCACCAGCCCATGGTCGTTTTGAACGGATTGAATGTGATGGCGTCGATGCTGCTTGGGGTGAAGGACGACGGCGATGCCCGCGCCTTCACGCACGCCGTGCTGGAGTGTCAATACGAGCTTGCAGACTGGCTGTTGCGGATGGCCAGCATGAGTACCCCAAAGATCGCTGCGCCGGCCCTGGGCGCGCTCGGACGCTTGCTGCAGGCCTGCGCCGACCGCGCCGCCGCGGCGCGGCTGGCCGCTCGCTGCGCGAAAACGCCCGCTGTGATCAACAGCGCGGCGCAGCTCGTGGCGGACGGCGGCAGCGGCGACAGGGGCGGCGGCGCCACCGGAGGCGGCGCCAGCGGTGGCAGCGTCAGCGGCGGCGACATCCGCAGCAATGCCAGTCGTGGCGGCAGCCGCAGCGACGCCGTCTCGCGCGCCAGCTTCGAAATCGATTGCTACAACAACTTGTTTGCCGCCCTGAACATCGACAGCGCGGTGGCCCTCTTGCGCCACACAGCACACGCCAGCCCCGCCGCCTGCGCCGACCTCGCCGCGCAGCCCGCGCTCGTAAGTGCCGCGGCCACCTTCTTGGCTGATGCCAGCCGCGCGGCGCGCCAGAGGGACAGCCTCGCACTGCTCGGCGCCGTGGTGGCGCAGCTGCCGGCGGGCAGGGCGAAGGTTGCGTTCGCTGCACTGGTGGCGTGCACGCCCGGCGTGCTGCCCGCGCTCGTTCGCCTGTTAAACAGCCCTGACGCGGGCGACAGGTTCCACGCTGTGCGCCTCGTGCAGTTCGCCGCTGAGAATGTCAGCGCCGTCGCCGCGGCGCTGCGCCAACTGCCACTCCCCACAGCGCTCGTGGCGCTGCTGCGGCGCGAGGGGGCCGGTGGCTGCCCGCCCGAGCAGGGTGGGCTGTGCGGGACGTGTCTCGCGGCACTCGAAGTCTCATGGTTCATGTGCACCACAGACGCGTGGACATGTGGCACCGACCTGGCGTGCTCCTTCGCCGACCTGCTGTCGCGCGCGCCGGCCGCCACCGAGGCGCTGGCGCGGCAGCTCGACGCCTGCCCTTGGCACCCCCTGGAGACGTCTGCGGCGGCCACAATTGCGAAGGCGGTCTGCACCGCCGCGGTCGAGCCGGGACGCCAGGGGCACACAGATGTGCTGCGCCGCCTTGTCGCGGCGCCCGGCAGCCTGCCTGCGGCGACGGCGCGCGCCCTCGAGGCGCTGCTCAAGTTCTCATATGCTCAGAACTTCAAAGTCTTGTCCCTGTGGCTGATCACATGCCTTGCGGCAGCGCTCTGCTGTCTCGTTGGGGGCCCCGCCGCAGTGCTCGGCCCAGCAGCCCGTGTCGCAGGAGCAGGTGTGGATGAGGAGTTGGCAGCAGCAGCAGCCGCCGCAGCGACTATGAGAGTGGCGGCGCCAGGCCTGGTGGCGTCGCTGCAAGCCAGGGTAGGGCCCCCGCGGCCGGCAGTGCTACACGTGGAAGGCGGAGACGCGAGTCCGTTTTACCAAGAGGCATCAAACGATGCAACACAGGAGTCTGCGTTGTCATGCCTGCTGTGGCTCATGAGCGACGAGCGGCGGCACCTGCAGCGGGAGGAGCAACAGCAGCAAGAACAGCAGCAGCTGGAGAAACAGCGGCAGCAGGAGCAGCAGCAGCAGCAGCAACAGGAGACGCTGCAGCAGCAGCAGCAGCAGCAGCAGCGGCAGCAGCAGGCGCCGGTCGCGCCTGTGCCGAACCCTGCTGCTGGTGACAGCCCAGCGTGTCACCCAGGCCACATCGAAATCGTTTCTCCGCCTGCAGTTGAGCAGGCGCGCAGTGCTCCTACGGCTGCCGCGGGCTGTGCAGTGTGCGGCAAAACCAGCGCCGATGATGGCGTGCGGTTGAAGCTGTGTGCTGGCTGCAGGGCGGCGCGCTTCTGCTCCGATACCTGCTACAGGGCGGGGTGGAGGGGCGGTCATAAGCAGCAGTGCCTAGCGGCGCAGGCGGCTGCCCAGCAGCAGCAGCAACAGCAGCAGCAGCAGCAGCAGCAGCAGCAGCAAGAGCAGCAGCAGCAGCAGCAGGAGGAGCAGCAGCAGCAGCAACAATTGCAGGCTCCTGAGAGTGCGCCAGTCGCAGGGCCGTCAACCACCAGCAGCACTGGCAGGGCAGTTAGCAGCCCTTGAGTGAGGCTCGTTCCATAATTGTCAAAAGACATTGTGCCCATAACTCAATCTTGCCTGTCTATATGTTTTGTGCTCGCAGCCTCACCATGGCCTGTGATTTTTGCAAAGGTGTTTTCAAATCTTTTTCCGGAATCAAGTCGAACTCGACCTCCATGCGCTTTACGGTACTGCATGTATCCAAAGTACATCATGTTGCTTCTTATTAAAACGAAGACTCTGTGACTGCTTGATTAGACCGTTGCGCAATGGGACATGGCGTGCTCGATCGCATGTGTCCCGCGTCTCCTGCTGCCAACGGTGCAGCAGCCACCTGCATATGCATTGGTACGCTCAATCAGGGCGGCCTCCATGTCAGGCAGCCCGGTCAGGTGCGCAGCCTCCCCCAGCCCCCAGCATTGAAAATCAGGCGTGGATGAAGTTCCCAAGTGCGTGCTGGTCTGCGCTGCGCACCAAGGCATGCATGCGGGCTTGCGTGCATAGGTTGATGAACAAGTTTGGAGGCCCCTCAAGGCCAAAAAAGGGGGACAACAGAGAGGGAGGGGATAGATATGTCTGGCCGTGCCACAAGCAACCGCAGGCTTCAAAGAGAGCAACAGAGGGAAAGCCCACTGCGCATCACCTGACAGGAGGCATTAAGCCCCGCAAGACACAGCCAACCAGAACGCCTTGGCGTGGTACTGTCGGAGCGATCGATGGCGACGCCGCCATAAATTTACTCTTCGCATCCTTGTGGCACTAGGCAGCTGGACAGACCTAGGCTGCACACAAAGCGGTAGAGCCCCGGCCGCCGCAGCTGCGCCGCCGGCGCCTCAAACGGGGCCGTCCGACCGAGGTCTTTGACACCCTGAAATCCTTCTCGTTCTGTCAGAAGGCTCATGTCCTGCTGGGGCCATTTGTGAAAGAAGCCCATTCGTTGTCCCGAGTACGGTATGACACTAGTGACGCAGCAGCTGCTGATGCAGCGCGCGGGCCTGTGCCAGCGATAACAAGCCATCTCATTGCCTTTTCAGCACTTGCCTAAATCTGCTCTCGTGTTGGGCTGTTTACGTAAGATTATATCAAGTGCGCACAAGCTGTCTACCCCCACAATTTTTAATTTGTTCGATCATTCGACCGCACTACAGCAGTCGCTCACCTCTGGCGCTGCCTCCGCGTTTATCATACACTGCAGGCTCAAATTTTACCAGGTAGTAACAGTGCTGGGAAGATCAAGGGCAGGCGTCCTCAGAGACACTGGCAAAGCGCTGGGCCACCTCCAAGAGCACCTAGTCGCGGCCTGCTCGACCATTCTGATCTCAGTAGTGCGCGTCAGTTCGCTCCATTATACTGCTCAGGGGCGCCTAATGCTGCTAGGTAAGAGCAGGCTGGGACCGGGTGGCGGCGTCTGCTGGCACAGCTGCCCGCCGACGAATACTGGTAGCCCAACGAAGGCATCCACCTCTGCTGGGAGCCTTCGTCTGCTGGTTGGACGCAATCTGCATTTTTTTGCACGGCTTGAACAGGCTGTCCCCTCCACACCACTTTGAGTGCATGGCACCCTGCTGCCTGTGGGGGGGGCGGCCCCCACCATCTTGCCAACTGCCCCCGCAGGCATTGGATATGTGCAAAGTTGCCTGATGCGCTTTCTAGGTAGGGGCGTTGATGGGGCCCTAATTGATGGTACACTGCTGGCACCCCCTTTGGCAGTGCAAGCTTTTTCCCGCATAAGGGTGTCCGCCACTCTGTCTGCCTGTCTGTGTGTGTT